CCAATAATAAGACATATTGAATTTCTATGACTATAATATTAGAAAGGCCCATAAGAACGGCCAGAAAAACGATAATGTACATTTTACTGTACTGTACTAAAAAAAACCATAGGGGTAAAAAAACGGATCCAAACACTTTTCACCTCTGCTAAAAAAACAGTCAGTACAGTACAGTACTGTACAGTGTACAGTACATTATACTGTATCCCAGTCAGGTCTAATCCCAGAGCATGGTCCACACTGTGCTGTGTGCTCAGTACTGTACTGTACTGTATGACTTTACCACTTTACGTACAGTACCGTACCATTACTACTGTACTGTATACTGTACAGTACAGTACATTGTACAAGGTACATTAAGCCCTGCGCATGCCTTTTAAAATTGGCGCCGGAATACTCAGTAACATGGCGCTTCCAGTGTTGGATTTAGAACTCTTTCGTCGCAGATTAAAAAGTTTCTATAATAGTTGGAGAGTGAGTTACCAGAATTTTCTTTTACAGATATACTATGATTTTTAATTTCTAGACTTTCGATTTTTATCAATTAAATCGGCTAGTATCCTAAATTGGGCAATGTTACATATATTTTTATTCGGAATAGGAGACTACGCCTGAAGTGGATGCTACAGTCATCTCTGTTGGCAGCGATGACAATATTATTTATGCTAAGTCAATAGCTGTTCAGGTAATCCCTCTTGTTTTACAAAATTTTAGTTAAAGACTAATTTAGCGGGGTATCTTAATACCAGCTCATAAACTATCCATTTTACTTAGTGTAAAATCTTGCGCGAGGAGATTGCGTACTGTACAGTACCTCATAAAACATGTGCTGTTGTGCAATGATCGTCCTGCTTACCGAAATAATACGGTAACTGTAGGCGTACATTCAAAATGAGGGACAGTGTGCAGCACGTGCGAGCTTACAGATAGTTACGAAGGAATTTATAAATCGATGTAGTCAATTTAGCGTGATACACCCCTGATTAGTGCGATAGACAGTACCGCAAATTGCGAAAGATCAGCTCATCCTTTATTTCAGTACGAATATGGATGGTCTCCATACTTTATACAAATAATATGGAATTGGAGCGTACTTAACCATAGTCGAGCTTACAGTACGTATAACGAATAATGAAGTTATATGGAACTTAGTTGATGTCATATTTGCACTTGCTGATAAATTTGGCGGGTTTCTATGACTTCTTTTACTCTCTGTTTCTTCTTACTATCTAAAAAGGTTCATTAGACAATTTACGAGCAATACAGATTTATCTTTTTTTGTCTGTGCTTCTACGGTACATTGAAGCTATGAAGTATACGAATTTGTCAACTTTCATTACAATATGGGATTGCTATTTTACTATACACTGTATACGATACATCGTTGCTTTCCTAATGAAATTAATATCCTTTCTTTTCGTCATACTTACCATTACAGGCATGGCTTCTTGGGTGTGAATTGCGCGATGTTATAATTGTATTATGCCATGACCGGCTGTATATTTGTGCTGGACGAAAGAAGATTGAATTTTTACAACCCTTACAAGAATGCACTGACGAAAACATAAAAAGTGTGATTTACTTGACAAAGCATAAAGTAAGATCTGGATTAAAATAATACCGTAAGATAATAAGATGAAAAATAAAATGCTGTTGTTTACTAGTCACTCCAAAGCGTATCTTTTGAATAGAGAGATCATATCGTTAGCGATAAGCGGCGGGTTGTTGAGCCAGTAATGACGACGTTATGATTTGATTAAATTCGTTGTTATTGTTGAAGAGTGATCTACAGTGATGTATCTTTGTAATATTGATCAGGCGCTCGGCTGATATGTGAAGGATGCACTTGTGCAGTGATTTAAAAATAATGATTTGCTCGTACAAGCGTATTTCTCGCATGAGACTATTGAAATCTTTGAATGTTCTTTATCTGTATGAATATACATACCATGCACGATGACAGATGTCCCGTACCAAAACATACTCGCATTAAGCTTATTCTTATGAGTGAGCATTGCACGGTATGCACCTACAGTACTATGGTAACGTCAGATCTTGTATCTCGACGAAAATTAACCTAACCCGATTTCGTTTAATTAAATTTAGTAAAGTTCCTATCGCTTTTAAATATATGCAAGTATTGGAACTAAAACATAGCATTGAATAAGGTTTACAAATGTTTGATTAGGTAGGTCCATCTGTGAATTGCAAGTATTAATTACATAATAATTACTTTTGCAGGGTGTGGATGATAACCGTGATAATTTCACAGAATTAATAGATGCTATCAAGAAAAGTAAAGATGTAAGGCTGCAGCTAATCGTGTCTATGGGTTACATTTATAAAATTACGTATAAGATTATGCTGTATTGAACACAGAATGAATTCTAATATTAGGCATAGATTTGCTAATAGATTGATTAAAATTAAACTTCATTTATGACCAGGGTAAGAATGTTGGAGTAATACCCAAAGATAGGCTCACTAGTGATTTTACTGAAGCTTGGAAGGATGTGCTAGATAATGATAATGAATTAGCAAAGGTTTGATTAGACTATGCGGTTATTAATCAAATAATTTGATACTGTAATTAGGGAATTTCTCAGCAACTTAATTCATTCATATGCATAATTGGTCTAATACGCTTAGAGTGTATCGATTATTTAATATTATTCTATAATATTGATAATTGGAATGTGTTTGATAAACTGATAACTTCAACAAAATATTTTCCGCTAGGTTGACATCACGCCAACGATTGTACAGGCAATGGCTCCAAAGGACGAGTCAGAAATTAACCTGATTAAGGTATTTCTTATTAAACTTGTCTTCCTCGTCCAAATTACTGAATTTTTTACAATAATTATTTCGAAACTGAATGTGGGTTAAATTATTCATCTCGGTAATACATATATTACACTAATATTTTCTAGAAAGCTGCACATATCACTTCTGAAGTATTTTCTAAGCATTATATCATGCAGATCATGAGCATCATAGATCTTGAAAAGGTAACTACTATGGGCTATTGATCCAATAGAAAACTCCTCTTCAGTTATATCACTATATTACTACTAGCTGCATGTGCAGATTAGCTTAAGAGTACTGTAATTTCGACTGTGTAAATGGGTGATTGTTCACGCTATGGAATTTGATGATTTTTGATACATTTCTACTAATAAACTATTTTACTGTCTTGATTTTTGAGCACGTTTCAACCAGATATAATCTATGCTTATAATGATATTTCAATTATTTAGAAAGTTAGTCATTACAAACTAGCGGAATCTATTTCTAATGCTATCGAATCCGAAAAATATTTAGCTCCTAATATGGACCCTCAATTGGTAAGGGAACTCTTATTATGCCAGATTGGATTATTCTATATCGAACTTAACTAGTACCAACCATAAATTTGCCATTTGTATGATTGCTAACTTAATTATAGGTAGAAGTTTGTTATCCACCAATTATCCAAAGTGGTGGAAAACAAAATCTTAAATTTAGTATAACTAGGTAAGGCAGATTGGTTATTATTTTATCTTAGACCCTAGATCTAACATTTATCTTGTATCATTTATATTTATAGCAATAATGAACTCTTGAAGTATGATATTATTACGTGCTTTTTTGGAGCACGATATAAGCTTTATTGCTCCAATATTGTGCGAACTTTGCTTGTTGAACCAACTGAAAGGCAACAACAATTGTATAATTTGTTACTTGAAGTGGAAGAAATTATTTTACAGGAACTTAAAGAAGGTAACTAGTTATTATAAACATTTAGCATTACTAGTATTGATATATATGTACCTATTAGATAGATAACTTATTAAATAACTGTAACTTAGGAGTTAAGTTAGCAGAAGTTTATGATAAAGCGAAGAATTACGTCGTTAAAAGAAAACCGGAATTAGAATCTAACTTTGTTAAAAGTGTCGGGTTAGTCGCTTCTCACTTTCACTTACTGTACTGCGTACAGCTTTCCTGATTGATATGTTTGTAATAGTTTTGCCACTGGAATCGAGTTTCGCGAAAGCGTTCTATCAATTAGTCCAAAGTGCACCGTATCTGTTAAAAAGGGTTGGTAGAGACTGTTGACGGATTTTAAACTCCGTGCTGGTGATATTAAGGAAACTTAAATTTCTATTTTAATGCTTGTCTATAAATAACTTTATCCTTAAAATTATCAGGAATGGTTTTCGTAGTCAACGTGGGCTTCTCTGATATAGCGTATGAAAACGATAAGGCAAATACGTATGGTCTGTTCGTTGGGGATACTGTAATTGTTAATGAGGTAGCGTAAATTTTCTGTTATATACTGACTGTAATCCTCTAAGATTACGAAACCATATTCGCCATATAATCTCTTATCTATAAAATTTAGGATACTTCGGCAACTGTTTTAACTTCAGCTAAAAAGAAAATAAGAAATATTGGCATTTTTCTGAAGGTAATAGTAATAGTTGAAACCCCAGCTTTTTATTATCAGTTACCACCAGTTGTATGTCCCGACATTTTCAAGTTTTATTTCATTCTCCTTTAAGAATGAAGATGAAGATAGTGAAGAGGAAGATGAGGTTCTAAAACACTTGCGTTCAATATTTGTTCTTGCGACTGATATCGATATTAACGGCTTTACACTATTATGTAGAGCGATGTAATGCCAAGAAGATCTACTACTATTTTGGAGAGTAGAACGAGGGTAAGTTAACCTTTGATTGGAAGATATGGTTCTAGCGATGATTTTCCTTGTAATACAGTGAGATTCCTTCTACAATTTTTTAGTCTGAAGAAACTGCCGAAGATAGAAGAAAAGTTCATCAAGCTGAGCTCAAAAGGAAATTAAACGAAGAGGCTAAGGTATTATTTGTTGAAACCCCATCTGTATATGATATCAAAATTTTCGGTTAACATCATCTATCTACGCTACAGGCAAACTTATTAAAAATGCGCGGAGAACATGTGGAAAAGAAGTAAGGATTTATTTCTAAGTCCTCATTTGAGATTTCTATTTCCTTAGTCTAAAGACATTAACGTTTTTTAGAGTCAAAGAGAAATTATCATATAAAAATCAGAGCCTTATGCCCAGAGACCCTGATATTAGTAATCTGAAGATATACATCGGTACGGAATAGTCTTAATTTGTTTTCAGATAACATGTTTTTCACATATTAAGCCTGTATAGGAATAATAGGGCGTTGACTAAGCAGTAAATTACTGTGCTTAATATATTTATTTTAGATAAGAAGCAAGAATCTATAATTCTGCCAATTTTTGGCATAGCAACGCCATTCCATATATCAACGATTAAGGTACTGTAGTTATACTTTGCATGTTCTATTTTTAACGCGCAGTGTGTAAGAATCTTATCGTTTACTACTAGAACGTCAGTCAGAGTGTCGAAGGCGACTATTGTTATTTAAGAATTAACTTCTTCTATCCTGGCAGGTAGTGTTAATACTTTCATAATTATAACGGAAACAGGTTAACGTTGACAACTTACAGTTACATTTTCTCTCACAGTGCCTTGGGTCGTTTCGATGGCAACGTATTTTCTCAACCAGATGCTACCTTCTTGAAAGAACTGTATGCAATTATAAACTATAACTATCAATTAATATTAATTATATAGCCTCAATGGGCATGTTGTCCTATAGCTTATCGTTAGGCACAACTATATCATTTGAGGCCATATTAATATACCGTGTTAATCACGATGGTTTATTTTGTTTGAAGCAAAGCTGTCGTTTCATGCCATGGTTATAGTATTTATAGCACCTACAAATTTATCTGTAATTATTATTATTGCAATAGATTATTGCTTAAAGATGTAAGGTATTCTGTCTAATTCATGTAGTACGTTCCGGAGTCTTAACACGAAGCAATCTGGTTCAACGACTTCTCCCAGTATGAATCTTATGACTGCATTTCGTTTAATTAAAGAAGTACAGAAGGTTTATAAAACTCGAGAAACTGAACAACGAGAAAGAGCGGTAAATAAATTAACAAGTAAAGTAGAAAAATTAAATTTCATTCTAAAAGCCCTGCATTGACTTATTTATAATAGGGTATCGTAGAACAAGAGGCTTTAATAGTTAACCCTAACCGTAGTAATCCACGTCTGAAAGAAGTCTATCTTCGACCGTCTGTTAGTCAAAAGAGAGTATTAGTAAGTAACTGCCTTTCTTTTATCACGTTAATAGGTGCTAGCCCGCAAAATTATATATATTTTATTTTCACCTTTTAGGGAACTTTGGAGGCACATACTAATGGTAATACTTTGTTATAAAATTTACATTACTATTAATATAAGATCTACATGATAGTACTTTTTATATGCTCTAATAGCGCAAGCTAAAAGATTATCATTTTGCTTTATAAGGTTTTAGATATACGTCTGTCAAAGGAGAAAAGATTGATATTCTTTATGCTAACATAAAACAAGCCTTTTTCCAGGTTAGTATAGGATAAATTGAGTGTTGTCAATATTTAGATTTGACTATTTCCATTTGCTTTGCAGCCATGCGATCACGAAATGGTCATTTTATTACATTTCCACCTGCAAGTCAGTAAATGAATGTTTTATCCACTTTAGCACTAAAACCTAAATGTTAAAAGATCTAATTGTTTATTTGTGGTAGAATGCCGTGTTAATGGGCAAGAAAAAGGTGACAGATATCCAAGTTTATACGGAGGTATGAGTGATAATTGTTACTAGAATCAATACCATTTAATACCTTTTACCACAGTTAAAAAATCTTTCAATCTTTTTTCCGGGCATTACAGATAGGAGAGATATCGGCTGACTTGAGCAAATACCGCCACATGCATGATAGAGACGATTTAATGGCTGAACAGGTATTAAATAGCGTTTCTGAGACTACCGTACTTTATATAACCATGCAACCGGCAATGTTATTGTATGTTGTATCATTAAATATTTATTTCCTGTCTAACTTCAAGACTGAACGAGAACGTAGACACAAATTAAAAGTCTCTTATATGGGATTTACTGAAAAGATTGAGAATCTAACAAATAAGCAAGTAGAATTTGATACCCCTATAAGAGAACTGAGGTATTTAATTCTATAAATACTGGAATGGCCCAATTTACGCTTTTATTGTAACTATTATTGAAGTTTTTATTAATGTGACGTTCATCTAGTATAGTATAGTGTTATGGGTATGCTTCTTACTGATTTATCATGCTAAAATTTTTTAAGTTTCTATGGCGTACCACATCGAAGTACGGTCCTGCTACAATTATCGAACTTCTGTCTGGTCCACCTTATAGAACAGGTATACTAATTTTAAGATTTTCAGATCATTTAAAATAATAATGATAAAGAGTATACTTTCCGTTACATCTACGCTAACAAATTAATCATTTATCAAAAATAGCCTGTCTTCATTGTATTCTTCCGAGAAGTGGAATTAATCCATTTTGAACGTGTTCAGGTATTTGCAATAGTATGCGTACCGAATCATTTAGTATACTACCATCTGCGGAGTGTAAATTTTAAATATCATCTATGATTAATTCTGCAATATACTTTACAATTTTCTTTATAATAGTTTCACTTAAAGAGCTTCGACATGGTGATAATTTTTAAAGATTATTCAAGAAAAGTTGCAACTATTAACTCTATTCCTATGTCATCGCTTGATAAGATAAAGTCTTGGTTCGAGTAAGTTTACTTTTATGAATACTACGATAAATTTAATAATATTGCAGTATTTAAACTCGTATAATCTGCAGTATACGTATGCTTATTTTACCCAGTCCTAAAAAGAATGCATTCTTTGCAGTCAATATGATATTCGATATACGGAAGGCATTCAAAACCTCAATTGGACTAATATAATGAAAACTATCAACGAAGATCCTGAAGGTTTTTTCGAGAATGGTGGCTGGAATTTTTTAGATATGAACGACGAGGTTGAATGCTGATCATACTTAGTATAAAGCTTTATGTATTTCTTTAAAGCTTAGATCTAATGCACGAAAAACTACTCAATAGGACAATGGCAATGAATCTCTTGATGAATCAGAAGAAGATGATGTTTACGAACCATCAACGGACGAAGATGAAGATGAAGATTATGAAGAGTCGATGTCATCTGCCGTCGAAACAGGTCAAGTTAATATGATTCGTGATTGTTAACGTAACGCAATATAATATATAATCTCAAGTGATATTTTATACAAGCAGATGATGAAGAAGATGAATTGTGTGAATTAGATAGTGACGAATCAGAGGGTAAAGACTGGGATGAACTGGAAGCAGAAGCTGCTAAAGGTTAAAAGCTCTAAATTAGTACGATTCTATATCATTTCAATAGATTATCCCATCTAATTTAAAATGTTATTCATAAATTAGCTGATCGAGAAAAGCAACCAGAGTATGATGAAGATAATAACTCAAGGAAACGCGGAATGAGTAAAAGTTCGGCCAATAATCGCCCAAAGAAAAAGTCCAGACATTAATTCGATTTTGTTATTAGCATAATACTACTTTTACTGTAACATCTAAGTTCATGGTAATTAAGCATAACCTGCCATTAATCTAGTGCTAAGGGTTACCGAAGAATAATTTATTGTAAAATATATCGCAGTGTCAATAGACTTATGCGAATCAAAGAATCTAAAGTTTAATGAGCAAGGCCTAATGCAGCCGAAGCTGTGCCTTATGTCTTGATCATGATTAAAATAATAAAGGTCTCGATATGTTTAAAGTGTCTAAGTAATCGATCACATTGAACACAGTCTACTGAATTTACAATAACTTTAGGAATTAATAAGTTTAATATATAACATTGTGCTATAGACCACCGCAGGCGTTAATGCATGTATAATTGCAAGCAATAACGTTATGACTTAATAAATCTATGCGGTATATCCTGTAATAACGAGTTATTGATAGTTTTATGAACTTAAAATCTATCGATTAACGACAAAATGCGACGTTGTTCTGCATCTTTGCTATCTTTACTATTTGCGTCACCGATTTGACTTGCATATTCTATACATTAAAATAAAAGATTAAATTCGTGCGTCAAGTTAGATACATTTTTGCCCTTAATTAAAATAAGTGGTAAAATAGACCTGCTACGGTATCGAAAGATGTACTATACCTCGCATGATATCCTTTACAGCCTTCATGGAACCTCCATGCTGATTTAATAACGTTTGAATACGATGCCTTACCTGGATAAAGAGTAGCGAATTAGTGTATAAAAACGTAAAGTTTGTGCAGGTGCATTAGACATACATTTGGACCACCAGCAGCTGAAGCCTCCAACATGATCGTATCAATAAGATGCAGGCTAAAAAGACCTGCATCCAATCGACGTAGATAGAATTCCTCTTCTAAACTTTCGTCAATCTCTTCACCATCATCAGCTAATTCCTACGAGAAACAGTGTTTGCCCGAAATCACTAGTAAGTCAGCAGCATTATCATTAATCAATTTATCACCTTAAATTACGTAAAATTAGTGCATTAGCACCAGAGTGCAAACATTTTAGAAAATCCTAAGTCGAAGATATGACAGTACTTTGTAAATTTTTATGGATACTGACTTACTCGTTTTTCTTCTTCGATTTTATTATCACATTCTTGAACACGATGCATATACTCAAAATGTAGCTCCATAAGACGATCCACCTAAAATAAAATAATGTTTCTCTAAATATAATCCGTCGATATGAACACTAAGTATTAATTCTAGTAATGATTAATTTACCTTCTCGAAATCGTTTTCGATAAATTTATTCGCTAATCTAGACTTGGATTGTCCTGAACTATGCCGAAATAAATGGACCATAATGGAGCAAATGTGTTCTAGATTTCAACAAAACATAGCAATTCATCATAAGAAGAATTTTTCTCGCTTTATTTGTAAAAGTTTCAGAATAAAAGTTTAAAGTGATTGATGTAATGTTGATAAATTCTAACCTATATGCTCACTTTCATTGGTCAGTTTTTTAAACATTTTTGGTGTCTAAATAATAATAAAGCAAACTCATAACATTGAAATTTGTAGCTACTACTTTATTGTAAATTTCGAAAGGAGATGCAACACGGCGTCATACTTTCATAAATAAAGGAAAAAGACTACGTAAACCAAATAGTTCTATAAACTTTACAGCACAATCTGGTCCATTATAGTTTGATAAAACATAAGTTAAAGTTTTTATTGCTCCTTTGCTACTAAGCTTTTTCGATCTAAAATGGTAGGAATCATTAGAAAGAGCATCACGTAAACGGATGTCAGTTGATAATAATATTTAATAATAATTCAATACACCTACCTTAGCATCAATATCATTAACTGTAGACCCTCACCACGTAAAAATCTTTCGCAATTTCCAGGACACTGCATTAATGATGAACACAGGCAATCGAACAAATTTTCCAGCATTTCAATTTCGTCTGCGGTGGTCGGGTCTCGCTTATGATATACCTTGAAAATATTACAGACATGATAGGATACTACATAAACGCCCGTTATAGTTGTACTCGTATAAGTAATATAGAACGAAATTTGAGCGAAACTTACAGACAATATTTGAAGTAGTGTGTCGATACCCTCTAATTCGCCTAACAATGTGCGATTCCCTATAAAAATTTTGTGGCAAGCATGAGCTAATCGTGAAGAATATCATACTCACCCTTTACGTTTAAAGTATACCTTCGTGGCCTTGTAGTAGGACTGCAAGTATTTCACAAGAATAGGCTTTATTTGCATCATAGGTGTTGCGTTTCGCCTAAAATAATAACACCGTTCCAATGTATGACAATACGACTGTTTGTAATCTAATCAATCTCTCATCCGAAAAGAAGTATTTGCTTACCACTAAACTCCTCAAAATCCACTGCATAAGTCCTTGATTCGCTGCTTCGGTAGATAACTCAGGTTTAAACTCTGTTAGATTTTCAATAATAGCTAGAACAGTATAAATAAAAGTCATTAATGAGTGTCTTTGTTTATAATTTCAAGAACGATAATTTTATGAAGTTAGTAGCAATCACTTTAATAATTTAATACGTAAAAAGCGTCCAATTACGTAATTTATTGTTAGTCAAAAGTCAAACCTAGCGTATTATGAACTCCATCAGCTTCTTCTCTTATAGAATCGTTTAGTCGTTCAATGTTTTGAATTAATAAAGTGACAATTTGATTCTCCACCTAAATCATTTTATCACGATACGCAAATATAAGGGAAAAACAAATTTTACTTATGTCACGGATATCACGGACAGTAGCATAAAAGTTAATTATTATGTTAATGAATGAAAACGGTTTATCTAACCAGAACGTCTATTAATGCCACTGCTCCCTCATGACTTTCGTGTAAACTATCAACATCAGTCATCTCTTGTAGTAAATCCACAATTGCAATGGATATATCTGTATAATAGAAAATCGGACATAATTACGATATTTCAAGAGCTGAAGTAGAAGGGTAGGTATAAAGTAAGTAGTAACCAATAACTACAACAATGATGAGAAGCAGTATGTCTCATTATGCTCTAAATTCGTAATGGCCATATAGCTTTATAGTTCTATCTCTTTAGCAGTACTGCATAGCTTATTAAAGTGATAAAATAAATATTTATAATTATAATTAAGTGAAAACTACCAGAATTATCGTGAGTCAGCAGATCAACGAAGGATTTGATAGTGTTTAGCTCGACCAATTGTGGATAGAGTTCCGGGGCAGTAGCAATGACATTCAATTTCTGAATTTCTTCATACAATTCAATTTCAGATTCCATAAATCTATGCATTGACAAGTAAGTTATTATGTTTAACAAATAGCTATATACCGTAGTAATACCAGGGTCAATCAGATGTGAAGATGGTGATTTATACTTAACTTACATAATTATTAATTATAATTAGCAATATAAATAAATTATCTACCACGTCATATTATATTTTTACTAGTTGTATACATACGTATCTTATCCTTTTAACATAGATTATGGTGCATAGTATGTTAGAGATTAAAATTTTACTAACGTACTTCTTTGGATCATCAGGATGTTTAATTCTCATCTCTTGATTCTTTGATACCTTCTTCTCGAAACTTAGTATCAACTTCTTTAGGCTATGCGAATCTAATGATTCTGTCTTTGATATCGTACGTCAATACAATTAGACAGCATGAGTTAATTATAATCACATATTGTTAAGTCTACTTACACTTTTAATGTACAGATAATAGAATGTGTTACATCAGTAGGGCAGTAATGATAGTTTGTTCTTATTGACAGATACACTATATAGTAGTGAATAGCTTTGTATAATGTGCTTTGCAGCGCATATTAACGTAAAAGAACTTAAGTACAGTGCTCTACTTGATGAAGAAACCCTGCTTTTGCATCAGTCATTTTGCAAAATGACCGATTATCTATACGGTAAACGACATATATACAGTTGAAAATGAAACTTTGTAAACAGTAAGAGCATGGTGACAGACTGAGTGTCTATAAGGTCTATTCAAATGAAGCCACAAATAATGTTAAGTATTGTAGCATAACTTTAACGAGGGATAACTCGAAGGAAATAATAATTTTTTTTCCCTCGAGTTGTCCCTGCTTTGACCGCAGACTGTATTGTTTGCAAATACTTGTAAATCAGAATACTGTAAACTAAAGTACGGTCTGCATGATACCTCTTAAAAGCGAACATACGCGAAACCGTCTAGATTGTAAGCGTACTAAGTTAACAACAACATTTTAGGGCGAAACATGACTGATGTATTTGCTTCAATAATCAATCAACGTATTTACCTCTGGCTCATCATCTAGCATGGCTAAGATTTTATCACGCTCTTCATTGCTCAACTTTGTGCTACTAGTTATAGCTGCAGCTGCGGAGCTGCTGTTTCCACTGGATGAAGCACCTAAACTTTTATGATCATCACTGCCATCTATACGCCTTCGCTTCATAGGACGATCATCCTCAAATTGGTACAATTTCTTAGTTAATTTCATAAAGAGTGCTACGGGAACAAGTATTTATAAAAAATGTCAAAAGTTATATCAGTAATACTCACTTTTTCAGCTAATTGTAGGAGTTCGCCAACATCAACCATTTTCGTAAGTTATCTCCGGGCGCGAGTCTGTTCGTGGAATCTATGAACAATGGAAATACGGTTGATTTATACCAGGTTTACAGTACACTGTACGTGACGTAACTGCATACTGTACTGTACTGTACTGTATTGTATAGTCCAGTGTACTGTACTGTACGTACTGTACAGTACAGTACAGTACACTGCTACTGTACTATTACTGTACTGTACTGTACACCGTAGTGATGCAGCGAATACGCCTATAACCTTAACATACAGTACAGTACTGTATCTCCGCGGGCAATATGCACTTTCACCAGGGACTCCTACAGGAGAAATTCATAAATTTAAAATTTTATGTTTTAAATTAAATTAAATTAAATTAGAAAGTCCTTGCGTTGAGATTTTACACGTGAGAGACTCTTTGCATCGTGTCCGTGTGACAGAAAGTCGCATACGTGTATATACGGGTATATAAACTGGTTCAAGCTTTGCAGAGCTAGTCATACTTGTGCGTCCAGCTCTTTTTCTGCTATACTAGTAGTAGTCTATGCTGTGACAGTGGTGTACCTGGTTCGCGTTAAAAATTTAAATTTAAATTGTACTCAAAGGTACTTTTCAGGTTAAAGACCGTGACTGAATAAAATAAAATTTATTAAAGATTCTGTTAATTAATCTATTGATCAGTAGCAGAAGAGCGAATCATAGCTGTAGTGATAGACGCCTGTGATTGCGTAGCTGCTATACTCTTACAGAATTTTGACTTTATCCGTCCACAATTTGTTTAGAAAGCAACTATTATCTTCAGACAGCAGCAAAGCTTACTGACTGAGAAGTGATAGGCGACTCCAATGGGTCAGCAATTGCAGTGTCAATGTTCTAAAACACATAGAAACAGTATACTGGTTCTGTCACCTAGTCAAACCAGGGGTAAGAGAAGAGCTTTGTCATTACCATAGAGAAGAAATACTATACGAATATCTGAGAACACAAGGCAATACAAATTGTACTGTGCAACTGGACTGTCCTATGCCAATATGTAACATTTATGTTTTATTGCAAGCTTAGGCAGTCCACTTTTTGGTAATAAACAAGTGGCAAAGAATCAAATGTCGTGCAAGCATACGTTATGTTTACGGGCCAGTTTACCGGTAAAATTTTACATTAGTTTAATATATCTTGCAGAACAGAATTTATCATCATTGACAACTTACTATTAATCTACCTTAGCAACTATCAAATTTAATTTTAAAATCATAAAATACCTTAGAATGTATTGTACAGCATATATGAAGGTATGTACTTACGAAATGACATTTTTAAATGTATAGTACATTATTATACTATGTAATAATATGATACAGTATACACAATTATAATAATAAATAATAACAACTAATTTGATGTTATTATATCTAGATATATCAATTCTCCAGTTTCGCTTGTATACTTTATGGCTATGCATAGCTCAATGCAAAATTTTTATATGTTGAGTTTATCGAAGCTTAGTAAAATATCATACTCTATATTTCTATTATTGAGGAGGATGAAAATTACATTAGATATCCTTTCCTAAATGATCCAGTCCAATATAGCTCCTAACTGTAAGACAATCATAACAAACACTTTGGCCTAATTGTTATTATTATTCTTTAATGCACCTAAAGGGTAAGGAAGGCCAAACTGCGAGCATAGCTTCCTTAGAGTCTTTTCGTACTCAATATTATGGCTAGAAGCCTGTTGTAACGCAAATTTAAGATCTTCTATTTCATCAAAAAATTCCTAAGATAAATTAAAAAATTATCACATTCTACGATATAATCCATTATGAAATCTAGTGTGCGCAGCAATAGATAAAGGAAATGAAAAGTAACTGCTACTTAGACGATATCCTTTGCCTACATTTGTTATATTTTAATTAGTGTTACGATACCAAATCAATTCTAATGTATTTAGATACCTTGTCTATTCCTTCTAGTTCAGCTACATAAAAATAAATATAAATAAGAAATTATACTTATCAAGAGGATTGAAGCTATTAAAATTTTAACAACATTGCACATAAGGTATAAGATTTACTTCTTAATTTATGATTTTCTTCAGACAGCTTGGTATTTTCTTTTGTTATAATTGATAATTTCGAAGTTAGCGCTAAAGTATCAAAAGTACGTATGATAGCCAATATTTTCATTCGTGAATCAAATGAGGATTAAAATAATTGTTTTTATGATTACAGAAAAAGCTTATAGCGCTAAATATTACCGGCTCTAGTCTCAAAATCTTTAGCACTGACAAGTCCAGCCTTGGCCAACTGTTCCTCTCGAACAGTCCGTTCCTTTTCCAAAGCCTTAATTTTTTCCTGGCATAGATTAAGCTGTTGTTGGACTTCTTGTTTCTCAAACTGTCTTATTAAATAAATATTATGAAGTTACCAAGAGTATAGTACAATGCATCTGTCCTGATAAGTATTTACACTGTCTTGAGTTGAACGTTAACTTAATCAATCTCCTTTAATTGATTGACTTACCGTTAACGATGTTATTTGCTCGATTTGATTTGTGCTATTTTTTAGTTCTCGTTGGTACTTTTTCATTAGGTTGTTATGAACTGCCAGCAATCTATTTAATTGATTAGAACGTTAGTTGAAATAGTAGATTATCTAATTAGGAAGCTTGATAAAATTTAAAAGCATTTTAATTACATTACCGATTTATGCTTTCAGTTTGACTATCGATAACTGGCGTCGGTTTTGTCATTTTGTTAATAAACTTTTGTGTAGAATTAGATTTTCCTACCGAGGGTATTGTTTGTGTATGAACACTATAAAGTTCATGAAATATTTGTAGTTAAAGTTGATGTCAAGTCAAGCCTAGGTAGGATGTTTACTTTTCTATGTATATTTAATATTTATATTAAATGATCAGTTTGGTCTATTCATACCTTCGTTTTACTACTTTACAACTCTTGCCGACATCTGATGGTTCCTTCAGTTTATCTTTTAATTCACCTATTTCCTTTACTAATTGTTGATATTTACTGCGTAGTTTCTTGTATTTTTTTCGAAGTAGTTCATTTTCAGCGGATAGCTAAAAAGTATTAAGGTGATATATCAATTTAGGGTTAATCTGTGCAGTACATTAAATCCAGAAATCTTGAGCTATTCATCTCTTTGATTCACGAATTTATTTACAACTCGCATGCAAATATGCAATAATGTATATGAGTTTGTGATTTATAGAATTTATAATTGAGTTTTATATTTCGTAATAATGCCCAGTCGTTACGCTAAATAACTATATTCATTGCAGTTATGGAGCATTCTCGACAGTGTATACGTACGTATGTGACTGCATTCGGTTTGTAAATATTACGTTAATTGAACACTAAAACTGCCACTGTGGTCAATTGCATTAGAACCTCTTGATAATATTCAGAAATTTAAGTACTGTATTAACAAATACAATGAATTCTACTTAATTATATACATAATTATCAACCTGAACACAAGAGTGCAAAGCAGGCAAGGATGCTTCCATTATATTTACTATAATCGTAGATAATAGTGCACATATATATTCAGCTGCAGTGATTAACTTGAAATGCTCGTTTTCTTAAGGTCTAGAGACACCAACAACCAATTCTAACCAGATACTTTTAGTTATAAATAAATAAAAATATTCATTCTTTCCGCAGATCAATTGATTCTTGCTGCTTCTAGATACTCATCCGTCGGATCCGTTTATCCTTTATCGGTAGTTTACCGTAAATAAGTAAATAAAGAACTGTACAATTACAATAAAATAAAATTTAGTTTATAAAATTTAAAATTATAGGATAACGTAATTGATTGGCTCATTGTAATATAAGCAATTGACTGAAATGAATACTTTTGATTGGAACGTACAGTATTACAGGGTAATATACGGTACACTTGACTTAATGTGCTATACAGTACAGTACACTATACAGTACTTACTGCGTATAGATCTTACTACAGTACAGTAGTTCTTATTACAGTACAGTATACTGTACAGCACAGTAGTTAGCAGTACAGTACTCTGTACTGTACCAAAGCTTTTACTGTACTGTACAGTACTGTAAAGACTACCATTACAGGGGCGTGGCAAGCCTTCTAAAATGGTTGAAAGATGTTCAGCTACAGTGTTGCCTTAAATTATGTCTTTCAATTGTGAAAAAATGGACTTTCAATTTGGCTCCAATTCCATGCAGACAGATCAGCACAACCTTGAGCAATTGGCTCTTGATATTTTGATTACTTTTTATCGCAGCATTGAATAATACAAACTATCAGTCGCTCTTACATGTACTGTAGCTCCAACCATTTTAAAAACAAGTCACATCGTAATACGCATTGTACAGTACACATTGTACTGTACGGTAGTAGACAACAGTACAGTACAGTACTGTACTGTACTTATACTACAGTAGTTTTGTTCATGGGCGCCTACTGTACAGTACAGTAGTATTCCAGCACAGAATACAGTACATACTGTACTGTATATTACCGTATATACAGTATACTGTATTACTGTATATTATATTATATTGTTACGTGCTGCGAGACCGTTAGTCCCTGACCGCAGTAAAAGTAAAATAGGAAGATCGTAGCATAACTGGATGCTCTGAACAAGAAATGGATCAATTGGGTGAATACTTAGAAACTTGTGAACAAGTAGCGAGAACGGCTGGACAGGTTGCGTACAGAATATCATTAATTAATGATCAACTAGCTATCGTAATTACTAACGTAAAGCAAACCTTGTGAGCTTGTTGTCAGGCAGAGCAGGATTCGTATCGTGTACTCTTAGTTTTCTTCATCACCAATGGATTTGTTCGTAATATTAATGAATTAAATGAATGAATGGATAATAATAATAATAATTATTAGGAGATTAAATTTTCCGGCTTTCATGACTCCCTAGGAATCTGCTACCATATCGCAAGAAAGCAACGATAGATTTAATTGATAATTATCAATTACTCATATATCACACTGTACAGTATGAAGCACCATTATATGTATTGTCAGCGTAATAAGCAGACAGTCGCGATCACATAATAAAGTAATGTAAACCCTTCGTTTTGCACAACTTAATGTAGTAGTAATAATCACGTGTAATACATACCAGCACACAGTATATAAGGTATTTGGTACCGGTAATTATGAAGCAGTTAGCCTCATTAAATCACAAGCATGAAGTTAAGAGATATAAATTGTATTTTACCTGCAGGTAATCAAGAAGGCCTATTCAAATGATAAAACTATCATGACAAAGAGTTGTAGTGCTGATTTAGTAACCCAAACTGATCAGGAAGTTGAAAAGCTGATTATATCGACTCTAAGAACCAAATACCCAACACATTGGTAGGTTTATTATTAGAGTATATTGCATCTGTTAAAATCTTGCTACAATATATAATTAATATATTATTATAGCGGCTACTGGTATACTTAATCTTTCATTCAGTTATTTTATTTACATTAATACTATAAATTGGAGTTGGCAGTCTACCTGCCTTGTGATGGTAAGACAAATACTATTTCAGTAGTACTGTGCGATTTTCTATCACTCCAAAATAACTCGACTGACATTGACCTTTTACTTTTGATTTTGATATTTGTATAAATATGCAGTTTCATTGGTGAAGAATCATCAGCAGACGGTCAATCGTGTCAACTAACTGATAAACCAACGTGGATCATCGATCCATTGGATGGAACTACAAATTTTGTTCATAGGTAAAGCTATAATTGTATAACTCACGGTAAAATACGTACAGAATTAAGATACAGTTATTCATCCTACTGTAATAACATGTAGCTCACTAATCGTTTTAGCAATGACACAATCACACAATCATGTAAACTGTTACCACGTCGAATTATCACAGCACTCGCATTCGTTCGTTGCGTTAAATACTGGATAATTTATATGAAATAGAGACAGGTGTACATTTCAAAGTGCAGTATTTACTCCTTTACATTATAATAGCGTTATTCAAGGCTCGGTCCTATATTTATTACGAGCTGAAACTGTTGTGGAACTACAGAGTCGCAATATTTTCACCTCGTAATTTACATAAATTTGTAAGTTTACGATCTAGGATATGATACTATGGTACTGTATACTTAATCTGCTTTAAAAGCTCACCGCTCGTATTAAGTCAATGCATATGGTAACTATCACTGCAACATTATATCTGTATCTTATAGAATTCCTTTCGTTGCAGTATCTATCGCTCTTAAGATCAATAAGAAGGTGAGGCAATAGATATCAATGCTTGCAACAATATGATATACCCATATTTCTTTTATATAGCGTCAGAAGCACCAACAGAGATTTAGAACTCTATAATACATAATCAAAATATCACTATACCATGATTTGAATTTAACAATCTATGACCATACTCACAAACATCTGATTTGCTTCATACTCCCATAAGACTTAATTATAACATTTAGATATTGATTTTACTATAAAACTCTTCCTAAAACTACTCTCAGCATTTATAGACTCCTTATTGTCCTCGTCCAAACTATCAGTTGATGGATAATTTAAATTACAAATTTCTGTCCAATTGAAAAATTGGACTACACCATTCGTATATTGCAGAATAATTATTTTACTTGAAATATAATCTCATATATGATGAATAATGAATCGATCTTGTACGTGGGTAGACGGAAATTGCAGCCGTTTACAGTTGTATCCTCGATGAGATGTTTACGGCTAGACTTGGACATGGCGCTTTTTGTAATGGTAAAAATATTTCGGTTTCTAATCAAACAAGTAAGCGAAAGTTATCTTGACATTTGAATGTAACCGAATCCAACATGACATTCACATCAGTTCTTGTAATCAATTCTATCTAGATCTTAACAAAGCATTAGTTATTTCTGAATACGGTTCTAGCCGAGATCAGGAAATCATCGATTCAATAGTAGCCAACATGCGTGGTGTAATTAGTAAGCCAATACCAGCTCACGGGTAAATTTTTTATTTGTATATGCAATACAGTACAATATCATGTACGGGTATTTTATGCCAAAGATGAGAAAATGCTACTCTGTATCATATAAAAATAGTATAAGATGTTTGGGCTCCGCTGCTTTAAATATGTGTCAGGTTGCTCGTGGTGGTGGTGATGCTTACTTTGAAACTGGCATTCATTGTTGGGATATGGCTGCTGGAGACCTAATAGTTAGAGAGGCAGGTGGGGTCGTTATAGACACAAGAGGTAAGTTAGAAGCATATGGATGATTTAATGATACTCTTTGATATTATTAATAAGTCCAAACATTTAAGACAGTATAATCACTTTCTATATTAACATGTTCTATAATATTTTATCCAATTTTTAAGTACACATCAAAATAAGAGCATTTTTATTCTTATTATTTGTAGGAGGTGAATTGGATATAATGGCTCGACGTGTGTTATGTGCAAGTACAGAATCTTTAGCAAACGAAATCATTGAATGCACTAAGGAAATAACTATGCCAAGGGACGATGAATAAATTTTAAAGCACTAACCATGGGCTTCACAAAAGTAAAATCTCTGCAAAGAAGCCATACTACCGTTGAAGTTACAGACAATTTGGTGGTTTCATCAAGTACTTATTGCCACTCATGCTAGATTTAGTATCGTGTAAGAGTGAATATGCACAAAATGCACCATGTATTTATATCATTACACCAATAGGTATATCAGTTCGTAAAATATTCACGAACAGTTTACCTCTGGTTCGAACCAGGTTACTTAGCTAGATATTTCTACAATTTTATCATCCATTGTGGGTCAACTGATTCTCATAGAATCATATCTTAACCTAAGTATTATAGATATACATACTATCAGATATTTTAGTGATAGGTGGTAGGATACTAATCAAATACAGTTTCTACAACCCTCATGACATAAAATCTTTTATTTAATATTGATATCACATTTGAAAGTATATGCAGTAACAGTTAATTTATAATCGTAATAGGCGGTTATTATTTTCCTTTTAAAATTAGTAATTGTATTGGTAACAGTCAGTATTATAAACTTTTAATAAATCGGAAATACAGCCATTATTGATGCTTGAATAACGAAAGAAACCATCAAAGCAATACTTAGCAATATCACTTTTATCCTTCTAGTGCTGGCTAAATTATTGCACTAGCAGTGGACAATCGGCTTCGGAAGGTATTGGCTTCACATTTTAAAGCAGATAATTTAGAGAATTTTTTGGAATCTAGATCATAAAATGATAGCATATAGTCAAAACAAGTCAAGGAAATTGAGCTTCCAACTAAGAAACGTACACAGACTAAGCCATAGATACCAGAAACACTCACATTTCTAATAATCTATGAGAAACCTAGTACATACTACGGTACGTAGAAGATTCAATAAAGATGCAATACTCACCAAGACTGTGGCAACAGTCAAATGCACCTTTATCAATCGGATGAGCTTCAGTATTAAAAATGTAACTTCCACTGTCGAGAATACAACTTTTACCATTTTTAGATTTATATGTTACGCCAAATTTTCCGTCGTTGTTGATAAAATTCTCGGTATCAAATAGTAAATACAGATACTTAGTTGTTTCAGCCAAAAAGAAAGATTCCATCCTATCTTCAAGTTCGTGATTCATCACATTTTTTACCTTTTTGCAAATGCCAGGCAATTTGATTTATGTACCAAAGAATTCAAATCGTTTACTAATATTAAATATAAATTAGGATAGTTACCGTAGCAAAACCACATTTCGTACGGGTTCTATTAATTGACTTCGTTATTTCCATACCAGCTTCCAAATAGATAGGGTCTTTTGTAGCAATGTATAAATACCAAGCGCTTTCAATCAGTTCTAAGGTAATTTAGTTAGAGTACATAAGTAGATAGCTCAATAATTATACAAATAAATATCACACTACGATTAAATTTCTTAAAAGTAAGAAATAAAGAAAGGAAATACATTCATAGTATTTCTTTAGCCTACCAGGACGAAGAGGATATTCGTTCCTGTTACTGTATGGCATATTATCTGTAATAGCGTACGACTCTGGGATAAAACCCAACCGTCTCCAAACAGAATAATAATTTCGAAAAGTCTTAGCAGCTTGTGTTATATTTCCGACTAATACCTATTGTTAAATACGCGTACGTAACATGAATTTAGTGTTACATTAATTATTGGAGACCTTTTTCAAACAATCAAATTTTGATAAACAATGCTAATCACACATACGTGATTTCGCTACTTTGATATGCAATAATAAATACTTTAAAAATTCATACCATAAAATAGTTATCTTAGACTATAGGATATTAAATAAAAAATTTATTAGTGAAAAATGACCAATAGCGTGACGTATTAAAGATTCTCAATCCATTTTTTAATTACGTTAATAAAGGTATCTAGTATACCATAAAAATAGTAGCATTTCTAATGCAATTAATATCATATTACTACTTATCTTGAAAGTGCGCGTATGAGATTTGTAGTTAAAACCAAGACAACTAAATGTACTACTACAAAATTAAAGTGATTTACTGTACAATCGGTATGATCAAAACATGAAATAACTATTAAACTGTAAGGATTAAATGTCCTCGTATAACTTCGTACTACAGAATCATATTGTATACGTAATTTAGTCGAATTGCATAAGTAGGTTACTGAGCTATAATATTTGACGTTAAATTAGTATCAAAAATTAACGGTATTGACCAATCATACCTGAATCCCTGGCCAAAAAGCGTCAAGTGACTGAAAAATAGGTATGACTACATTTCCTCTCATCATATCCGCCCAAACATACCAATCAGCATAGTTAAGATATTTATAAATCGCTTTGTTATACTCTAAAAAATTTAGAGTTGCAATTACATATATCATAAGATCCCTCATGCTGTATAGCACATTGTCAACAACATGTACAATGTTATAGAATCCAATCTCTCTCAAATGCGACAAATTTAGAGTATAAAACTAGTTATTATTACCTTTAAACATATCCATTAGCTCGGGATCATCATTTAGTAAGCTACCTTTAACCAAGTATTCAAAATAGGAATCTATGCCTCCTCCAATCCCAGATTCTTTAGCAGTCCAAGATCCACTATTAGAGTCAATATGATTACCAACCTATGCATAGTGTAGAACACCTTGAATTTATCGTACGAAACGTCATTCATAGTTGCACATATCGGTAACCATCTGAACGACTTACTAGTCCAATCGCAGACTTTTTCTCCCATAGAGCAAGAATAGATTTCATTGCTGCATCTTTGTATTTCGAAACACCTAAAAGGTTAAAAAGTAGGAATAAATACGGAGTGTAGCGCATAGAGAGTACCCTTAGTTTGTACAAGTTGCGCATATGGAGCTGTTGAATTACAACTTTACCTGTCAGTAACGATAGCGTTCCAAATTCAACAATTAGGGTACCGCATGTCGCAGTACTAGTAATAGTGGTTTCACCTTTAGGAACTCCATGCCTGAGATTAATAGTACCATAAGGCAAATTGGTGCGGGTATCGAACGCTATAATACATATTTTAATTCCAGCATAGATGTTTTCATCAGTTGAAAGAAATTTAAAATACCGTTCATTAATGTTGATACCAAAGACTACACAGGCTGACATAAAATCTAGAATGAAATTGATCTGAAATCAAGTCGCACCAGGTAATAATCGATCGGCAACATCTACAGCAAGTCTTAACAGTGGGCCATCACAAGGCCAATTATCTTCTAATTCAAGACCAGCCTTATGAGAAAGCAAATGTGCAGAGAGCAAGCCGCCAACAACTTCAAATAGAAAAATAATTGTACATTTTTAGTTACTAGTCATCAAAGTAAATTTTAGACTAAGTTATCACATTATTGATGATGCACATTAAAATTATATCTGTCGAAGGTTCACAGTGAATACTCTCTTTTTTAGTAGTCTCTTCAGTAAATGACAAACTACATATTACATGCTACCATCTTATCACCTCATGCAGTATACGTTTATTTGAAAATCCATTAAAGAAAATTAGTACGAGATGATGTTACAGCAATTTTAATCCTATAATTGAATAATCAGAAGCCCATTCGATCAACTGTTTCTAAAACTTACTTCTTATGTTTGTTTCAAAAACAGATACATTGATATCGATATCAAAGTTAGCGGTGTCGATCAATATTTTTACTACTCTTGCAAATTCTGTCTTGTTTCCCATTATCTAGGAACAGTAAAGAAGATCGAGGACGTTATCACACTCCTACATCACACTTCTTATACGCTTAAAGAGGAAATTTTAATATCTTTGCTAAGCATTTATCTGATTTATTTTATCATCATTTAAGAAATATTCACTCATAGTTATGGAATTCAATGATATACGTAAATATTTGATATAATATCTCCATATCTTTCGCGTATTAGTAGTTTCACAAATTAATACTTACAAGTAGTGTATCCAACGAGTCGATTAACGTTAGAGAAAAGCTAATAAATTTATAAAAACGGCATATAGTAATTACCAAATTTGTAATTTATATGTGAATCAAAATTACTACACGTCCGTATAAATTCTTCTTCGTCAATACTTATACGCGTACTACCTTCCCCAAGTATTCATTCCTTGACATGATAATGGTTTAAGTTCATCATAGGGATAAGCATGTCGAAGATAATTGTCGTATCCATGATAAAACATTTCTTTAACGTCACGCCTAGTTTAAAAATCATAGAAATGCACATATGAACAAACTATATACGCATATATTGGCATCAGGTCAGAATCAACCTATAGTACAGTATAGAAAACTTCGAATATTCCAATAATAAAAATATTATAGAAATAAGCTTATCCTCAAGCAAGTTATAAACTGGTGTGATTACACATACATTTAAATCATTAAAATCAATATACTGTACTATCTGGAATAGATTGATTATGTTATCTATTTGAATCTTTGGTGTTGGTTGTGGTAACGTCAATGTTATGTCTACTACAACACATGTCTACAGCATATACAGTAATTTATACACGGCCAAACAGAATCGTAATTCTAAAGTCTTAGGCCTTTAGTCAAAACAATGAGTCCTACAAATATTTCATATACTCCGTTATAATGCACAATTTTTAGCTTTCATTGCAATGATGGGTCAATACTATCTAACAAGTGCTTGCTCAGTTGGTTGGATAAACTCGTAAAAGACAACAGATTTAGGAGATGCACCAACGCTGAACATTAATGTTACAAAACACCTTCAAGTATTTTAAATCGGATATTTAATTAATTATTTATGACAAACTATGTTTCTACTGTTATTTTTAAAGGTGTATTTACTTTTGCTCCTACTAACTATAATTTGGGTTGTAATACAAAAATAATGCCTGGTTAGTGAGCTTACCTGAAGGAATCGATCTCCCATTTTTCTACATTTCTTGCGAAATTAGTCGTAAGACAGACAACAATAATTATAGAGGAAAATTTATTGATATTCGTTACCATATTACTATCTACAGCCCTAGAGATCTATACGATATATGTTATAATAACTATTGATGATATCTTTCAAATTTAGACAGCTCCGGAATGTAGAATACACCAACTTATGTGGACAACTATGGTACTTAACTACTACTATAACCGTATCATCCAACTAGAAATGCACATTTTTCGAGAAAGAATTTCTTCCTCGATATTACTAGTGAATATCTTCAGGATGGTACAGCCTTACACCTTTAGCTTTGATATTTATAGTATTATACACTAGTCAGTAGTCCCCTTAACTTTGACTACAACTGCGAGAGGAAAAGCGAATAAAATTGTTCTGATGCTTCTTATAATTGCTGCTAAGACCAAATTCGTCATACTAGTAAAACTGGTGTAGTTGGAAGCATGCCTACAGTACAGCACAGTACAGTGACAGCATACAGTACAGTACAGTACAGTACAGTACAGTAGTGTAGTAAATAACGGAAACGCTACAGTACAGGTTGGCCAAAAGACTGTAGCTTACAGTGTATAGTATTGTACCGTGCTTACAGTATGTACTGTAAGAACTCTACAGAACTCTTACTGTATACAGGTTGTACAGTACAGTATTTTACTGTACTTTCCAATACAGTACTGTAGATAGCTTTTATAAAAAATCCATTAAATAATAAAAAAACACACCTACTCGTATATTAATTATAATTTATAATTTAAAATTTAAAATTTAATGTACTTGGTCATTGTTAATAGTCAGGAATGGCTACCTTCAGTGCCAAAAGAGACGAGATTATCCGCTTGTTTTGCGACTGTACAAAACAACAACAAAATAATATTTTATTAGAGCTCCTGCTGCAATGTGAGGTATGCAGTAGCCTAAGCTACAAATGATATGCTCTGTATTGTAAACTACAGCAAAAGCAATAAGTAAGTAATACAAAATCATTCACTCGTGATTGCCATCACCAGATCGATACTAGTATAGTAATAACTCTACGCTGTTAGGATAATAATGCTCCAAATGATACGCGTACTTCTGTTTTTTCATTAGATTAGTCAGAATGAAATAGTTGAGGATTTAATGAAGTTTAATTAAGTGAAGGATAAATACGTATTAGGTAAAATGGTTAATGTTTAATAAAAATCCATGATACAGCATGTAATAAAACTTATCGGTGATGCTGTATGTACATGTCACGGTCCATGTACATCTGTTACTAGTTCCTCAACATTCAACAACCGTCGCAGCGATTTAGTTCCGAGCTTAAGAAAAGTTTAATTTTATTAATATTAGAGAGTTTTCTTATATAGTTATGCATCAATTTGCACCTCCGACTACAAAGATTTTACAAGTTTTTGATAAAAACAGTACTTCAGAATCCAGCCTAATTTAATTACTTTTTATGAAAAACTATGAGACGTCTTTAATAAGGATTTATTATACCTATTACTACGATTTCAAGTTTCATAAATTCTCAGTAAATATCAATTAATAACTAACAATTCATGTGAGAATCCATTGTTAGAGTTATTACTTTATACAGTACATGATTTTGTATACTCATTTAACTACTATAATAAAGCCGGTACTATGTACCGTGACAACATCTACATTCGATAGAAATACAATAATAACGATTCCACAATACAAGAGTAACTGAGCATGAAACTACGTAATCCATTATGGGCAATAAATGGTTTTTCTATAATATCTATTTTGCCAAATAACAGATAATGTTTTACCAGGTTACTTACCGATCATCATTATAAAATGTACAATTTACTTTATACAATGATATTTATTAAATGTGCTAAGATCGCGTAGTATTCTGAATTATACTAAGTCAGCATTGAGGTATGAAATATTATATAATGTTGTTTGCCAAAATTAACCAAGCTGCATTTAAAATGTAACCTGATTCAGTTTTATTGACATCCTTATATGCAATTTAATATCACAATTTCTTCTTCAGCCTTTGCAATTAAGAATTCTATACTCAGAGCTCAAGCCTTTACTAGCCGTAAATTTTGTGGCATACTTACCTAGCGAATTGGTTGATAAGATATTTTTCCTTCTGGAAGCCAAAGATTTATGTAACATAGCCATGTGCAATCGGCTGTGGCGAGAGAAGGCCAATAACAATGCAATTTGGTAAATACACTTTTAATCTTTCACTGTCTAATAATAAAAATGATATAATTGAATTTTTTACTAAATAGTAGCCAATAATGACCTACAATTGGGTTGTTTAATACTATTACACCAAGCTACCATGTACTATTTACTAACAAAAAAGCTGGAAATTTTTTTATAGTACTGATATGTTGTATACGCGTATATACTCGTATTGCTATACAGGAAAAAATTATGTACAGATAAAAATTGGATCAAATACGGTGATGATCAATCTTTATTAAATATTAATAACGAAACAACTATCAACACAACGCCAGCGCAGCATCAAATTTTGTTAAATTCTCTAAAATCAACCTTAAAGACATGTAGATGGAAGGAAATATATATTAGAGCTTATTTACTTAATCGAAATTGGAATACGGGTCGTTATACGAGTATCCATACGTTACGTGGCCACAAGCAAAGAGTAATAAGTCTATCATGTGATGGTAATTATCGATTGAGATTAAAAAGATAAATTTTCAATAATTAAATTAAACTAAAGCTATGCATTGTAATCACGTTAAAACTAATTACAAATTCTTACTACTATAGTATAAAAAAAATTGCCATACATTAATAATAAAATAAAACCTTTGACCAATATTCTAAATAATTATAATTTAGGCAAATGGATCGTATCAGGATCTGAGGACAATGCAGCTCGTATATGGGATCTTTATACTGGCGCATGCAAACATGTATTAGATAATCATACTGATTCAGTTCGTTGCTTGACTTTAAAGGTATCCTACTAATTGTAATAAATATATTCATTTAATTTAATGTTATTTAGCATTACACAACAAGTATTATAATTTTATTTTGCAGAACTCTGTGCTAGTTACCGGATGTTTCGATGGTATCGTACGAATTTTCGATGCTAATACAGGAAGATGTTTAAGGTAAGACTAGTGTACACAAAACCACTTTTCATATAATGTAGATTATTATTCCCAGATTTATCTGAAGTTCCCATATTGTTACGTTACTGCATACAATATACCTTATCAGGACTTTAGGTGCATTTACAGCAGTTGCAAGTCTGTAGACTAATAAATGCCTTACCTAGTGACATTATATTCTTATATGCTAAAATTTTACCAAAGATCTTTGACTGGCCATCAGAGTGGCATTGATGGTGTCTGTTTTGATGGAAAGATCATAGCTACGGCATCTGCAGATAAGTAGGGAGTCATTCATATTTGAACAATCTTAAAAAATAAAACTATTTTTGAGAACAGATGAACGAATTTTGTGGAAATAAATTTTTGATAGCCATAGTATAGATTTACAACCTTTATTTGTAGCATTTATTTTTGATATTTATTAAATCTAGAACTATCAGATTATGGGATTTCTCTACTGGACGTTGTCTGCATGTGATGCGAGGCCATACAGATGAAATACAGGTATGATTTATTAAATACCTATTGATATGGATTATGGAAATGGTAAATAGTCTTCATAAAAATTCATGCTGTTCCGTTTGCTGTCATGTACTATATGAATCAGGCCATAGAAATGTATAAAGAGTACGTCGTTACTAGCGCTTGGGACGATACTATCCGATTGTGGGACATTAATTCTGGGAATTATAAGAAAATTTGGAAAAACGATGCCGGTAGAGCTATTAGACCACCTTTAAACATCTTATGAATATTATTATATAAAAATGTAGTAATAAATTCATTCTTTATCACTAATATCGCATTATCTAAAGAAAATACATGATTAAACAATAATGTATTCATTTGTAATTAAATTTCCGGCTAAATAGAACACAAGTCTACATTAAAAAGTTTACTTTTTCACAGATATGATATCAGTCAAACTTAAGTAATAATATACGCGAAATGATTTATTTTTATAGTTGCTTACTGTCTAAAACTTGACGAATCTAAATGCTATGCTGGCAATGATGACGGTCTAATCAAAATCTGGCATGTAAAAAATGAATCTCCAATCGCAATACTCACTGGTCATACACAGGAAGTAGTATGTTGTAAATATATTTATTACAACTAATAAAAAATCTCTATCGGTTAGAAGTTATACTTTTCCAGAATTTAACTCTACTAATTTGGTATCTTTCATTCTTCTCCAGTATTGTTTGCAATATAATGATAATATAATTGCTACAGGATCGGCAGATAGCACCGTCAGAATTTGGAATCATTCCGGTCTTTAATTAGCAAAACATTTGTGATTAAATATTAACTATTACTATGTTACGATGTTCCGTTTCTATATCTTTTAGCTCCAAGTAGCTAGTTAATATCATCGAAAAATATTAAGTAATTATAGTTTTTAATCCAAGTAGTAAATTTTTTCTTGTAATTTAACGGAGTCGACAAAAACTTTTTGCTTCACTATACAAAATGTTTCTTATACTATCAACTAATATCATAGGCAAATGCTTACACATATTAAAAGGACATATTGGAGTTGTTAGATGCTTGCACCTTGACGATATGAGACTCATAAGTGGTGGAGATCGTAAGAAGATAATTATTTGGAATGCTCAAGTAAAAATTGAATATCAATCTCATTAACACATGATAGGACTCCAATTGCTTTAATTGATGCCTCGTAATTGCAGCCCTATACACTCGTATAATTTTTAAATTTACTTTAATTTTTAGACGGGAAAATTAGTTCAGGCTTTATATCAAAATCCTTCACTTCTTCATCTAATGTGGTGTAATGATACACGCATTGTTACAGCATCACCAGAGCCCCCAGGAACTTTGACTATCATTAACTTTTGGTAGAACAGTGTTTGAATATGAAACAATTTCAACAATACCATCAAAAATAATTGAAAAATTCAAATTTAGCATCCGAAAATCGACGAAATGAATTATTACCAGCACATTCATCCTAGTATCAGCCATAGATGATAATGCCAGCTTTTTTTCAGGCGCACCAGTTAAAATGAATATAGATATCAGTTGCAAATTATTTTAATTCAATTTAATTTTATTATACTTAGTATACTAAGAACAGTCTATCCTAAAAAAGAGCACACAATTGATATGAATAAATTCTTTCTTTGTAATGACTCAAGTTCTCTCTTAGTAAACCTGTTACCTTAGTGCATCTCGGTAAGGAGCTACTAACGCTAACTTTTGATCTGCATATTAAACGTAAAGTGATACGATATTAATTTCACTGATACATATGCACTGTATAGTATCTTAACAAATAGGTTTTGCACTACAGTAGTTATCGAAGTAGTTTTAAAATTACTAGCTAACTCACAACTTTATTTAAGATAATAGATTGACATCACATTGTTTAGGAAAGCAAATATGTTCAAAACTTTTTGTAGTACGATATCACATTCGATATCAGACCATATCTCGTTTGAATAAGTTTTAATAGTTGAACACTTTTTACGTTAGTTTTGAAACGGAAAATGTTTTAGTATTTTTGATTGCAATACTATTATATGAGCGACGAAATTACAAAAATTTATTATTATAAGTGCAACATAATATTAATAATTCCAGAAAAATATCATTGGCACCTAATAAAGGGTTTCTTAGAATAGAAAAATTTAAGTATAATAAAGTGCCTAATGGATGATTTACTAGATACTAAATACTGATCTGTCGTGAGAGTATCTTTTTTGTCGACCCTTTTCATATGGTAAATACAATTAGCTACAATCTGTCTTTTTCTTTCCTACATCTGTAAATATCGATCAGCATCATTTATAGATATTCACTGCCTTAATTTAACTCATTGTAGAATTATTAGCAGAGCAATACAGTAAATCCTCACACAAATTTATTATAGTTAAAGCGAATTTTCTTGTTTATTATTTGATACCTTTACCATCTGCTCAGTCACTATGTCTTCAAAAAGTCTAATAGTAATAAATTTTTGAATACTCATACTAGAATATGAGAATAATATTATACCACTTGATAGAAATCGCCTTAAGACAGTTTATTCAGAATAACAACTATAAATATAACTATGTGATGTTGCTTACTTTCTGTAGGTTATCAAGCAATAGTTAAAGAGCATAACAAAAAGACAGCAGGTGATTACCACTGCTAATATTTTATATCTTAAGATTAAGAGACAAAAAATCTACTATGTCAAAGAATACGGTGACATTTATGTATTACATATTGTTTGATTCCATCCCGGTAAATTAAATCTAAATCAATAATTGCTTAAAATAGTATCAAATGTCAAGATTCTTCATGATACAGTAACATCAATAATATCGTATGCTTTCAACTCAAGCACTAATTGATTTCAATTATTAAAATTTCTTTCCATTGAACTTCATGTTCTGTTTTGTTTTATCTCTAAGTCTTCGTCATAAAAATAGTAATAAAGCGTACAATAAGTGAATTATTACTATATATATTCTATGTTATAGCTATTCCTGGAAATAACTAAAAATATATTATAAAATCTCAATCAGTTCCGTCTTATCTGTAATGATAGTCAAATTGTTACACAAATTACTATAATTTATCTCAAAAAGAGTTCAATAAAGAAATTAAATTGTCTTTAATTTAAATAATTAATCAAATCCTATTATTTAACGGAGGTGATACCTCATTATTACTGCCTGTGTTAACTATAAAACAATTCGCTAGCTCATATTACAGTAAAATCTATATCAAGGAATATAGCAGATAACTATTAATATTTAATAATATCAACATTCAGCCAGTATTACTTGCTAATAAATCTTGCACCTAAATAAAATTTATGTATTTCTAAATTTATTTGGAATACTACTGTAGCAACAATCGAGTTATATTTTAGCAAAGAAAAATATTCACTTTGCTCTTGGTTATTTAGGTACAATTGTGCCTGATTTGGTTTGTATATTTCTATGTATAGATTACAGTCACTAAGTTGCTTTAAATATTCTGCTAATTTGAGTACTAATTTTGCGATATCTTAACCATGTTAAAATTTAGCATTATTGTTTCAATAGTGTAGTACCATAGGAAAGTAAATAAATCATTAATTATATAATAAAACTAAATACTTTTACTTCTTAATTCTTGTTTGATATGATTGAATGTATGTATCTTACTCGTATATAAATTGATATCGTAACGACACAACAACTTAAACTATTATATATTGTAACTGGCTGTGATTATTCTGCACTTTTACATATTCATAAGTAAAAATCACCATAGTTTCTCTATCAATGCGTGCAGCTAAGCTCTATAACTACGTAAGCTTTTCTAAATGCAATAGAAAATCAGTTTTGA